GAAAGCCTTGGGAGATGTAGGTCTTGCTGGCAGATTTTGATCCAAGACTTTGGGAATTCCAGCTGTTCTGCAGAAAAGCTGGGAGCATTGAAGTCAAGGGTGGAGCTCATGGGCTGTGCAGTTCCAGGGCACGCTTTCCATGTGGTGGGCTCCCAGGTGTCAAGCTCCTTCAGCCATGGGCCATCACACCACAGGAGTCCTCCAGCTGGCTATCACCAGTGACCAAACTACAAGTTCAACATTGCTAGTTTTCCAATCAGGTCACTTACAAATTTAAAAAAACAAAAAAACAACCAAAAAAAAAACCAGTGAATTAATATGACAAGTTTCACCCCCAAACTAACTCTTAATTTTATATGTCATCATATAGCCAAAAGTCTATCATAGACATGAACTCAGTGCAATGGAAACTCTTCAAAGCTGTTTGGATAAATCCACTACCATAAGACTTTCCCTCATGATATTTTTCATGTAAAATATGTAAACAGTATTTTAAAAAATCTTATGTCTAAAATTGATAATTCAAAGCATTTTCTTATGCTTGTTGCAATAATAACAAATTATGTCATTTGTAGCTGTCGTTGCCCTGGCATTTTCCTGTTGTAGATTATAATTTGATAACCACCTAGTATTAAAACAGGATATATGACAAGGTAAAACTTGCACTTTAGAAAGGGTATGGAATATGATAGGAGAAATTTCCTCTGTCCTTTATTTCTTAAATCTTATCAGACTCCCCTAGCTCCCAACTGCATCATGGCCTGAAAATCCACAAGTCATTCTCCCGTTTTGTATTTCATGTGTTCTAAAATGTCTAAAAGAATTGAATGCACTTTATACAAAAATGTTTTATATCAATGCTAAACAAAATTCATGCATGTTTTACTTAACAATTAATGAAGTTACCTGATGTAATAGAGTGATTATTCAAATGCTGGATCCAATTTGTAGTCCTTTGTGACAGGGGCAGACTTCCATCAATGCCTAAACTTCTGAGCGGGGCTACTCAATCCTATACCGGTGGTGGTGTATGAATGAACACGTGTGCTTTTAATACAGAATTACCATCCTCAGTTCAAATTGAGTTTGAAATGGGTATATCAGCTTTTCAGGGTTTTTTTTGCTCTTTAAGATCCTTATACATTTTCAAGAGACTAGCAGAGAAACAGTTACATGCAGCAAGTAGCTGATTCCTTCTAACCATATTTACATTTATGTACAGTAAAATACATAATAGCTGCATTTTTAGGTGAAAATGGAGAATCCATATTTTACACCTGTATCATGTGAGCATCCTGCCAATATTTAGGTGCACATACATAACATTCCCATATCCACCCATCTTTTGTTATTTAACACATTTCCTAGGAAACTATTTATAACTTTTCTCACATTGTGATTTTTAATGATGAGAATTTAGAGCAATCCAAATAGCATAGAACTGCCATGAAAAAAACCCACAAAAACTAAAAAGCAAAACAAACCCAAACAACAACCTGCTCCCCACCCATCAAAGAATAATTTCTCAAAACAATTCAGCTATTCTGCAAATATCCTATGTATCAAAAAGGCCAAATGCTGTATTACCATTTAACCACAATAATTAACCTTGTCATTTGGCCAATCTTTTTTCTAAAAGTCTCCCATTTTTTTTTCATTTACTCAAAACAAAGAAAAAAAAAGTCTTTAAATGAATGTACATTCCTGAAATACTGTCGGTACTGTCCAATGGGTATCTATGCCAGCAGTGAATGCACATGATGTAATTAGGTAGCAACAAAGCAGGTGCTTACTGTCATTTAAAGTATCATCTCTATATAGAAAAAAAAAATTCTTAGAAAACAATCCCCCTCCCCCCAAAAAAGAAAAAGTTCCATTTATGAATCCTGTTGGTTTTTCCTGACATCCTTTAAATCATAAATCCAATAATATTATAAATCATGTAAAATTTGGAAAATTACTTTAAGCCCTTGGGCTTCATATTGAACTGCTGTCTGAAGAAAAAAATTCAAAAAGCTTATACAGAATACTAGATGATATTTTTGCCATCATTGTCGATCTTGTAAAATATTTTGTGTGAAATTAGGCAGATTATTTAAAGACATCTAGTCAAACCCTATATGAAATTTATGAAATTCCTTTTTTTTTTTTTTTTTTTTTTTTTTCTGGAAAAATTCTTCCTCAATTGGTTGGCTCATTAACTCAGTAGTTTTCCATAGCGAGCACCACCCTGGGCCTACTTACGTCAGTGACTTTTATGCCATTAATTTCAATGGAAGCAGGATGTGGTCCAGTAAATTATCCCCAGCACAATCTGCTCAGTATTACACTAGACTATGGGAATAGTGAAAAGAAAGCTCCTTATGAATTTAACTTTTAAAAATATCCATTCTTGTGTTTGCAATGTAGGTTACTGCTATTCTTCCATGTTCTAAAGCTTTCTCAAATTGTCAAAACAATTCTTTCAATAGGCAAGCCTTCTTAGGCAATATAGTCACTATTAAACCCTGTACAGACATCCTAAATATTGAGGAAAAACACCAATAATCCAGTAGAGTTAATTAGGCATAATTGTAAAGAATTTATTGATGAACGCTGCATAAGTGATTCTAATATTGTTTAAAAAAATTTTGGACCAGCTTGAAAAAGGCACTCGTGCTGGATTTTGAGGACTATATAGTTGAGCTCCTAGAAAACAAATCCAAAAGAAAAGTTCTTGTTTGTAGCCTGTTGCTTTTCTCCTATCAGCTCTGTTATTCCTTCTCCTGCTATTTGAATGAAATCCTGCAGTGACCAGTGTCTTTCTGCTTCTCATCTTCCATGACTACTATCCCATGAGCTTTCCAAAGTCAACACATTGTTTTCTAGAATCTATAATACTTTCTCAAGACCGAATTTACTTGGCAGTTTTAATAAGGTAGTCCACTTCTTTATGTCATGAAATACCAGGGTCTGGGAGCAAACTAGAATTGCAAAAGAGCCAAACACACAGGCAAACACAAATTATATTCAAACAAGTGGATCTTGCTGCCAAGATTTGTAAAGTGTTCTGGGGTCTGATCACTGCAATGCCATGTGCCAAACTGGATTTTTTCATATCCTTATGTTTAGCTTTCTGAACTTGGATTAACAACACACTTTTATCCCCCTATCATAATTTCACTTAAACTAATTTGGTTTTACTTCTTCATTCTTTAAGTAAAATCCAAATCATACACCTTTTCTGCTGTATTCTCATGCATAACAAAGCTGTAGAATAAATATTTTTTACTTGTGTTGGCAAAGTGCTTTTCTACTTGGATTCCTCATTAAATTACATTCAATTTTAGTTATAATGAGCGTAATCCATTTGATACTGTTGACCCAAATTCCCCAGAGGAAAGCTGCAGTTCTGAATTGATATTTGCATCTGAGAGTCAACTGAGAAACATTCAAAATGACATCAGACTTCAAATCTGAAAAATATCCTTTTCCAACCTTATTCTAGGGGTTGTGACTAAGTTATATTGCAGAAATGTATTCTTGCAACACTTTACAGATCTTGGTGTACTTTAATCTTGTCACTTCCCTAGCTTATGTGACACTTTATTTATCTGTACCCTATCTCTGTAAACACCTTATGAGAACACTGACCATCAGGAAGCAGAAGCACCTTTCTGAAACTCATCCCTGGGCGTCTTTTCTGAAATCATATTTCTTCTCCCTGTCACGCTCCTTAATCATTCCTCTTCTGCAATAAATTGTTATTTCTCTCCCTGTTAGAATTCTTTCCTGTCATTCATCATGTTATGAGTACCTTTTGCTTGAGAACAAGAATAAAATCCCAGTAGACTTCAGGAAGCTTTTAACTCTTTTCATTTTGCTGAAAATAGAGAACTCTACTCAGAGTGTCATCTTCTTTGGGGCAATTTCATTGATTTGTTTGTTTTGGAGCTTTGGGGTGTTTTGGGAGAAGTGGCCTATTTGGAAAGATGGAATTATCAGTACTGTGAGTGTTGCTCTTGGTTTCGTAAGTAGAGTGTCTGGATAAGGAAACATTTGAAATTTTTCTTGAGTTTAGTCTGAAAACTGTTTAATAGGTAAGAGGGACCATGGAAGATTCTGGAGAGGAAACAGTTTTATTGAGTCATTGTAGAAGACAACTATGCAGTTCAAAGCATGAGTTTATGACTTCATTTGATGAAGCTAGCTAGATCCCTGTGCTCACAATGATAGCATGTGTAGAGGTTCTGCAGAGAGGAAGTAGTCTTAAAACTTGTGCATATAGTTCCTTTTTTCCTGTAACACTGGGGGTGTGAGATCAGCACTGTAAAATAGATCATGTAATTTTGCAGGTACAAAACCGGTGACTTGCACAGCAATTGCTAAGAGGTACAGATCAAGCCATGAATCGTACTCATCTGTTGGTAAATATCTTTGGGATAACTAAGAAAAAAACAGTGTGGTTGAAAACTCAGGTCAGTCAGTAGGACAAACTTAGTAAGCTGAGAAGTACCACAGAAAGTCTTCAAAAACAGGCCAGAAAAAAAACCTGTCAGTTTAGCTATATTGATCCTACTTGGTGTTAGAGAACAAAAGGGGTGATTTCCTGATATCCTTTTGAACTCTGTTTTCTATGATTCTAAATTCCCAGATGCATCCTTGGTATGACTACCTGTAGATTTTTGGGTACTAAAAAATGTTATGAAGTACAACCATGGCAGAACATGTACTTATCTCAATCCTTTATTCTAAGTGAATATTCATTTAAACCATTCACTTCAGTATCCCACTGGTTTTCTCATTAGTTGACTCACATAGAATGAGGACAGAAGGGTGCTGCTGAACACCTGATTACATCCTTGGTAATGGGAAAACTACATGGACAAACACCAAGAGTGCCAGCTCAGCATTCAAAACTTGCATAAATAAAATACCAGAGGTCAAATTAAGATTTTACTTTACTGTTTTCTTCAGTCGGCAAATGCAAATATATTTCTCCATAATTTATGTCTTGACAGATGATAATGAATGTGAAAATTCTACTCAGCCTTGTGGAGAGCATGCCAATTGCACAAACACAGTGGGAAGCTATTTCTGCATGTGCGCACCTGGCTTTAAATCCAGCAATGGGCAACAAACTTTTGTACCTAACGATGGAACCTTCTGCGTGGGTAAGTTAATGTCTGCCAGCTAGTTTTATGTTGTCACTTTTCTCTTATTGCTTCTGTTAAATACAGAAATCTAGAAAAATGCGTTCAGACTTGTGAAGCTTGGTGTCTGATGCAAAATTCCCACAAATTGGACTGGTACAGGCTTAATATTCCAGTTCAGGACACACTTCTCAATGATAACGCAGCAGCTGCCATTGCTTTCACAGAATCACAGAATGGTAAGGGTTGGAAGGGACCTCTGGAGATCATCTAGTTCAACCCCCCTGCCAAAGCAGGTTCCCCTAGAGCATGTTGCACAGGACTGCACACAGGTGGGTTTTGAACATCTCCAGAGAAGGAGACTCCACAATCCCTCTGGGCAGCCTGTTCCAGTGCTCCGTCACCCTCACAGTAAAGATTTTCCCTCGTGTTTAAGCAGAACCTCCTGTGTTCCAGCTTGTGCCTGTTGCCCCTTGTCCTGTCAGTGGCCACCACTGAAAAAAGTCTGGCCCCATCCTCTTGACACCTGCCCTTTAGATATTTATAAACATTAATAAGGTCCTCTATCAGTCTTTTCTAGGCTAAACAGGCCCAGCTCTCTCAGTCTTTCCTCATAAGAAAGATGCTCCAGCACCTCAGTCATCTTAGTAGCCTCCGCTGGACTCTCTCCAGAAGTTCCCTGTCTCTCTTGAACTGGGAACCCCAGAACTGGACACAATACTCCAGATGTGGCCTCACCAGGGCAGAGTAGAGGGAGAGGAGAACCTCCCTTGATTTGGTGGTCACACCCTTTTTAATGCACCCCAGGATACTGTTGGCCTTCTTGGCTGCAAGGGTGCATTGTTGGCTCATGGTCAACTTTCAGTAACACTTTAATCTTGACCCTGCTCACAATATTTTTAATCCACATGTTGCTGTTCTGGATGATGAATATATAGTTAAGGTAATGCAGAAATCCCTAATCCACCCAATTATGCCCCTGTTTAACTCACCTGTGAGCAAGGTGGTCATATTCTTAAAACAAAGCAGAGTGACAAAGTATTCTGCATTCAGGTCACTTGGGACCAATAAAGTTCCCTATACATTTGACCTGCTATGCTCCACATATCTTTTGTTTGGGGGGCTTTGGTTGGGATATTTTTTAGAATTTTTCAAGTCCGATCAAAAGCAATGGGCAAGATCAGTAGTTATCCTACCTCCTGTGCCATCCATCAGCCTGTTTCTGCAGCAGTTGGATGGAGCATGTTCAAGATTACAGGGGAGGAAAAGTTCTCTGGAAAAATGTTATTTCTGAACAACTATGCAATCCTTTAGGGTTTCCTTTGAATGGAAGAACTGTAACTATTTATCTTATTTCAAACTCCTGGTAATTTTCTCTGTATGTTGCAACAGTCCTCAGGGAATGGGAAAATGAGAAATAAATCTATTGCCCTTTACACCTTTATGCTGACTGTGTCTCATTCTAGATATGTCTCCTGTGAGCTTGTGAGTGCTGACAACCTCTCTTCTTACTGCTCTTAATATCAGCAGAATGGCTGCATATTAAGCCAGAAAGTGATCTAATCAACATTTCTTGCCCATTGCTCACATCCATCTAAAAGAGCTCTGCTTTATCCAGCTGCTATGAATCGTTCTTAAATTAGCTGGGACTGAGACTGTTAGCATATTGAGCTGTAAATATTCTTGCAGTTTCTGGTCCAGGCTTTGATTTTTACATTATGACATTTCCTCAGCTACAGAAGTTTTGTCTTCAAAGTTATTTCTCTGACTGTTCTTGTGCCACTTCAGCTTTTTAACATTAGCTTGCTAATTTCTTTCTTTCTTTTTTTTTTCTTCCCTCTTTTCTTTACTGGGCAGACTGATCCTTTTTTCATCCTCTACCGGGGGTTAGTTTACCATATGGGAGGAGCTGAAAGCTTCTAAAACTCACACTGAAATTAAGAATTACCTGTGGGCACCTTTTCTCATTAAACCAGTGTACTGATTACTCTACCAAGCAGTCCTGAAGACAACCTTTTGATCCACAATTAATTTCCTACTTTATCTGTCAGGAAAACCATAATAGGATATATTGCACCCAATGGATCTGCTGCTACAGGTAACAGATATGACTTGCAAACAAGCTGCTGACAGTAGTGTATTCAGGGTGTGCTATACACAGCTGAAGAAAGCATTAAATTTTCACTGTAAATACAGTGCAAGTTATCCAGTACAAATCGGGGGACAGAGCTACCATCCTACCCAAGTTTATAGGGGCCAAAATTATTTGTAGATTCTGCAAAGCCTTATGTTTTTTTCTTAATATATATGTATAATGTATGTGTCAGTAACTTTAAAAATACAGTGGTTGAATTTTGGAGAGTATGCCATTATGCAACCTATTTGCTTATAGTCAAACCCCATCAAAACTACCTGGAGTTCCCAGTGGTGCAAGTATGGTACATCACCATATGTGTGAGTCCATGATAAAGTCCACATGCATATGCATGTGCATTCCTCCCCTCTTTGGTACTATAATAAACTTCCGAATACAAAGTGTTTATAACTCTCAAGGTAGTGGATCAAAAGAAAATTTGGGATTGCAGCTTTGGGAAATATCAGTTCACCCACCCTTAATTCAAACAGAATGTTGAGTTTTGAGTTGAGTGTCAATAGTATTTTGTCCATGTTATCAGGCAGAATTAATGAAGAGATGATAATGAAACATGCAGATAGAGGAGGAACTGAAGGGTAGGAATGGAGAGAGAAAAAAAAGAAAGGAAATTGAGAAGAAAAGAGGAATGCAGTGATGTGATATTTCTGAAGGTTACATTTTTCTGTTGTCCTGAATGTGAGCTATTAAATCTATTTACTGCGTAAAAGCCATGTTTTTTCCTTAGACTTCACATTTTATTGAATGTTCAGCTGCAGATAAAAAGTTTAAATATAAACCTACCTTTTTCACCATGGTCAACAAAGTAAAAATGTGAAAATGGCCATCTGCAAAATGAAAGTGACATCTGTGCTACTCTGCCTTTTCCAGGAATACGCTATTAGTTTTCTTCAGGTTTTTCTCAGCTTCTTCAGAGTACTGGGAAAGCACCCATTCTCCATCGCATCCTTTCCTGTGACAGGGGAGTTGTACAGTGGATGGGATATGGCATTATGCCACATTGCTAACTTTTCTTTTACTGTGCCATTCATAGGCTTTTTCATTTCTACTCTGTGTGTGCTGCTGCCTTCCACAGTATGGAGACATGGGGAGGGAACATCTAGCTCTTTGCAATTGGACTTTTCAATCACTTGCAAGCTACTAATAAGCAGAAGGTATAATGTAGACATCAAGCTGTCTTGACTGACTGGTGAAGAATCAAAGCGATGTAGGTACAATCCAGTAATTGGCAAGACTGAACATAATAACTGTTCTCAGTACTTTTAATTTAATTGGAATTTCCTTGCCTACTGCAGTAAATGAGGAGTGACAAAGTACAGAAATAAAATAAAAGGTTATAAATCTATTTTCACGCTAGCCTAAGTGGTGTTGGTGATATTATTTTTCTGATCGGAGCTATTACAAAAGCTTCAAAGTTCAGCTCCAGGATTTGTTTTGAATATTTACTAAAAGGCCAGGGCTTTTTGTAGAGCTATGGTAAATGCTCTTCTGTTTAAAAAGCTGCTCTTCTTCAACCTTTGCTCAGGAATGCTGTCTGTGAAGACTGCTCACACAGGCCTTAGCAGCCCAGTCCTGCTCCCATAGTAGATCAAGGAGGACGGTTTGAGATCTTCACCCCAAAGCTGCAGTACAATTGGGTTCCTGAAAGCACTGACAGGATGTTGTCTGTGTGTGGTCCAACAATTGCATATTCAGTTAAAAAGGCAGAACTACAAAATATAAAGAAACAAAAACCTACAGCTACTGCACACAGTATTTCAAAGCAGGAACTTAAAAGCAGCATTCTTGCAACTGTCTCAAATTCTTGTCTGCCCCTGACAATCTCATTGATTTAAAAGGGATACAAAGCTGATTAGTACCTTGGAAGATCAGGCATACTGCCTTTTAACTTTGTCATCCAGGAGTTTTTTGGATTTTTTTTTTTCTCCAGGAAATAGTAAATTACATAAGCATGATATGGGCTCATTCCATATGGACTACTGAACTGCAGAAAGACTATTTGCATATACTTGACAGGGTGTCTCTATCAGACTTTAAATAGCCATCCTGTTGCCAGAGATATGCCTTGGTGCTTCAGTTTCTGCTGTTGTTTTGGATAATCCTGATTTTTCATTAAAATCTCCATTACACTTAATATCTGACATAATTACAAAGAGAAGGGTAATTTGTGTGAATGCTCGATAATGACAAATAAAAGATTTATCAAACTAGGTTCATGAAAAGCAAATTATCATAATAATTTTGAAATATTTGCATCAGTAAATCACATGGAAACCTGATACTTAGTGATGGTAGTCTGGGAAGTATTCAAATATTTATTTATTTATAAGCCATTGTAAGTTTTAGCAAAGCTTGTTGTCAGTTGCTGGTGTTGTATCACTGTGTTACATGCTGAATATCTTGTTAAGATGTACACGTCCTCCTTCGTGTAGCTGACAAGGCCAAAGAAATCTTTGGTATAAGGCTGATGTTGTAATGTCATGGTTTTCCTTCTTGCCTTTTCAATTCATTCAAAGTTTGTATGTCTTACCTAGAGTCACACAACAGGGCACTGACAGGCACCCCCATGTTTCAAAAATAGCTTTATAATTTACTGGAGTGAGAGGTTATTTAAATGCCAAGAGTAAGAACTTTACTCTTATGTCTTTAAATGACAGCATTTAATTACGAGGTAGCCTGCGTGTCGCACTGTATCATGCTTTTTTCCTCCCTTTTCTTCACTTTTGCCAGATTCACTGATGTACAGTATGGTTAGCTCCATGACTGTGAATACCGAGGTCACAGAAACCACACAACTACGGATAATACAAAACCCGGCTCATTAAATAGAAACATTTGCAGTTTGGGGTATTAAATATGGAAGCAAGCTATTGTCCTCATGCAGACAATTATAGTTTAACCTCATACTTTAAACTTCAGTACTTGTGCCAACTCATTCAAACACACTGCTTCCTTGGTGGCTTTCTCGGAATAGCAGAGGTGGTTGTGCGGGGGAGGGCAAAGGCACTTCTAGCCCCACCTCTCCTGCCCACATTTGCTATGCTCAACTCGGGATGGCTTTTCAATGGGAGCTTCTGAACCTCGGCCTTAAAATGCAGCATTTCAGGTGCAAATCAGAGCCACTGCTCAGAGAGGAATATAGGGATGTGAAAGTGAGGTGGGACCTCAACTATCTCCTGGAACCTCAGGAAGACCTCTGGGATTGTGGGCAGAAGAAAGGGAACTGGGGAATTTAGCACAAAACAGCAAAAAGTGTGTGGATGCAGAAACTGTTGGGGTACTCCATTAAAAGTTTACATGCATTTTACAGTTGCCCTATATACCCCCCCACCCC